AAAGAGAGAGAGAGAGAGAGAGAGAGAGAGAGAGAGAGATGAGTGTTATATCAAACTATTGGCGAAATTTAATATGTTCTGCAATTAATGAAAAAAATGAAATGATTTTGTTTTCAATAACTTTTACATAGATTTATATATCTGCTTATATATATCATGAGACTATATATCCATGTTTTGGCATAAAATTATATAACATTAATGTTTTGCTGTAAAATATAAATGTTTTCCACTTTTAGTTTAAATAGTAAAACAATAAAAATGTGTAAAATTCTAGTGAATTAAAAAACTTATTTTTTGAATTAAAATTAAAAACTCGCTTCAAATAATCATAACATATAGTAAAATATCGAGAGAGAGAGAGAGAGAGAGAGAGAGAGAGAGAGAGAATCAATACTAACGGGATGGCAGTGTCTTAGTCTTGACGTGCGCGATGTCCTTACAGTCGGTGCCATTACACGCCTTAAGAATGATATAATACGAAGTGAATTGTCTGAGCTTGGTGATGTTGGCCCAGGTGCTGGCGCCGGGAATCACCATGGTCACTTTGTCCTCCACCGTGTGATATATGGGCGGGTCGTACGGAATGACTGTCGTGTCGCTAATTATCAAAAACATTACACACAAAAAAACAAATTAATAAAAATCAACAGAATATTCTGGTAACCAAAAAAAACTAGGACTAAAATTCTGTATATAAATACACATCACATTCATATACACCCGATTCCCAACCCAACGGGCACTTACTTATTGATATCGCGGGACAATTGTTGAACAAAATTATATTTAGTGATAAGAGTGCCGAACCCGTCGAGGTGTGGGTCGTGGCCCATGTAGTAAAACACCAGCCATTGGCCACTTTTGTCGGCCCGTAGGCGACACTTGCGCTGCTCGTCCAGATTCAACACATTGGGCGCGCCGTTCATATGACAGCTCCGTTTGTCGACAATCGCATCGTTCATATCGCGGCCGTAATCAAAAATCTGGCGCACGTCCACCCGATAGGTGCCATTGGCGCCGGCCGTCCCGTTCGGCCACTCCAACAGTATGTTGTCCGCACTGGCAGTGGTCACCCGCAGGCCGTCGAGCGCCGGTTTGTTGGGCACAGTATACGGTGGCACCGATTGTGACGGTTCCGTCGAGTGCTCTGTTGTGGTTAAAACACACATTAGCCTAATTGTAATGTAATATTCATAAGTATATACTGTAGATAACTTTCTGAACCTATACCATGTACTTTACAGTAGCGCATAATATAAAAGGGCTATGCAATAGTCAAATGGCCTAATAGTGTCTATCGTTGTACACAATGCAATACTTACTGGCCATGGCTTTGGCCAAAAGCCTATAGTCGTTGGACTCGCGGCTAATGCAGAGTTGGGGCACTCTCTCGACGCGTACGCCACCCTTAATGTGGCCCAGACTGGGAAAGCC